TTTTTTTTTTTTTTTTGTTCTGAGTTATGGAAGTTGAGGGGTTGCTTAATTATTTTATTGCCTACAATAAATTGTGGGTGCATGTGACTTCGAATGTATTCAGTTACAATTTCTGTTAGATTAAGGAACTTGTGTGGTTTTTTTGTTTTTTGGGTGGGTTTTTTTTTTTTGGTGGCAACATGCTTGTATTCTGAATGCGTTTTCTGTAAGTTTAACTAAATTGAGTCAGAAAGAGAGGTGGAAGTCAATAAAGCAGCTGTGGATCCAAGTGGTTAGAGCAGCAGGATTCCTGGGTTATAATCCTAGTCCTGCCCCTAACCTGCTTTGTGGTTACAGGCAAGTCACTTTATTTGTGTCTCAGTTTCCGTATCTACAAAATGGGGATCACACCCTACCTCACAGGGATGTTGTGAGGCTTTAATACTTTTACAGCACTGTGAGATCATGAAGTGGGAGGTATAACACACGTGGTGGTAGCAATAGCAGTAAGTGAATTGACTGCAAACAGCATTCTCAGCCCTGACTGTTGTACCACGAAGGCTGGATTTCTGAGTGCTGGATAAGTGGAAAAAGGATTGGGTTGGAAAGTCGAGTCTGCACATTGTCTAAGCTCTGTTGTTATTGAAAAGTGAGTAGAATACAGGTTTCATGGCATAGGGTTTCTGCATTGTAGGATCTCCATGTTTTGTGTACTGAAAAACTGTTTTTTGAAATAATGTCTACTAATTTGGAAGCAGAAATCTGGTTGTGCTGATCTGAAGTGTTATTTGTTCATAATAAAAAAGTTATTTTAAAACTTGACTGACTGAGTGCCAATGCTTGGGCTTTCTGGAGCTTTTTGGGCAAACAAAAGTTATGCAGTGTTGTTCACTAACCAGAGAATGGGGGTGGAGAGCAGAAGAAGAGAGAGCAGTGAATGAGCTTACTGGAGTGGTTTTCGTTGCCAACCGCAAGCGTTGTCCAGTCGCACCCCTGTAACCAGAAAGCTGGCTATCCCTTTTAGCAGGGGTTACTTCAGTGTAATTCCAGCCAGGGCCTCTTGCCAAAATGTTGTGGCTGACAAATATACATGCAGCAGAACACGTAATACCAGCATCTTGGTTATGTGCAACTAGGCAAGTCTGAGTGTATCATATGAGTTCAGTAACCTATAAACTTCTGCAAAAGCAAAGCACATCAGCACAGCAGTGGAAGGAGTCTCATTCCCTTCTCCTCTTGCTACAGATGTGCACTGTTCAGCTGTAGCTTTGAAACAAGTAGACAGGAGTCTCATGCAGCAGACTCCAGCTGTCATTTTCATTGCCACTTTTTACCACCACTTGTGGCTTCTAGATGGACATTATACACATGTACACAGAGGCTAGAGAAGCACCTGGGAGGGTTTTAGAACAGAGACTCCCACATCTCTGCAGAAACATGCAAGACTTTTGAGGTCCCTTTCAGTGATTGTGTGCCAGACCTCAACACTCACCAGATTTTCAGACAGTATCCTGAAAACTGTGACAAATCAGGCCGGTAGGTCAGCTTTGAAATCTGGTTCCATCTGTAGATGCTGGCAGCAAGAATGTGAAATCCAGCCCCTAAGCGCTTTTGAAAATCTACAGAAGGAGCATTGTATTATGTGTGGAGGAGAGAGGAAAAGCAAGGGTGTGGGAGGATCCTTCGGTGGAACGAAGAAGGAGGTTTAGGCTCTTTCTGATGATCTCATTCTCCCCTTTGTATGTGAGAACCAAGGCCATGTTGCAAGATTCATGTGG